CATTTCTACTCCTGATACACTATACACTAAGAGAGAGAAGAGTTTCCACCAAATTCTGTAGACTGAGTATCAGGTTGAAACAAACATAGTTGATTAATTGTTTCAGAATGTTTGTAATGTTAAATCATTAACTTCACCAATCATGTTTTTATCAGATATCATGGCACTGAAAACATGCTGTTATGTAACAAATCTTCATTTGTTTTCTGTATTTATCTACTTTCATTACCTACCATTTATTTTATCTATAGCTTTTGTGTGGATGATCACACCTGTGATCCTTATCTTTCACTCTCAGCTGTTAACTGAAATGGATACATAAAAAGAGGCCAATTGTGATATTATTGTGCTACTTGGAAAAAAAACCCATTTAAACTACAAGTTAGGTGTGTGCTGTGAATATGTAATATCGTTACAAATAATTTAGGAGTACTGACTGTACCCAGCTCTGTATTTTTTATTTAAAAGGTTATTATGCACATTATATACAGTAGGAATGCAAAAGTGTGTTGCAATTCTCTTTCCTTTTACTGCATTGTGTATTTTAAGAGGTAAGATCTAAGCTTATAAAAGGAAATAACAGAGAGCATGACTTGTTTACAACCAAATGATCTAGTTGGGCTGCGGGCTCATTTCTGTATTGCATTTACTAACACTCCAATACAGACAGTCCTCACACAGAAGAGACACTGGTCTCCATACTGCTCTGTTTCCTGACAATCCCACTTAACGTCACATCATTAAAACAGGTTTGCTCCACCAGGACTTGAAAACAGACAGTCAAGACATGGGAGCTCAAGAGAGCAGCTCCCAGGACACCACCACTACAGATGCTGAAGTCAACACACCAGTGGCAACACTTTCAATCTGTGTCAATGCCACCAAAAGAGAAAAAAGGGAAGTGGAGGCTGTTAGAGACTCTATTCCTGGAAAAAACACAAGTGAGCTATGCACCCAGGGACCCAGGGACAACAACAGTAGTCAGGCTCCTACAAAAGGTAGGTAAAACCCCACTTGTTGGTCGTGTGAGGACAAATCAGGACCTTCAGAACAAATAAACTGCAAAACCTGAATCCTTATCAGGTATCCTGTCTGCAGCATGCAAAGGGGACCAATTGGAAGAGCTAATCAAATTCGACACAAGATATGGACATGGTGTGCCGAAGAAGGTTTCAGCTGTCTTGGGCACTAGAAATCGTCTTTGGCAAAGGCTATCAATACAGATGCAATAGATTAGCCACAGCAGCTTAACCTAGATCTGGGATCTCAAATTCAGTTCTGGGAAGGCCTAGTGTCATCTGTTTTTGCCTACTCATTTTCATCATTGCATATCTGGTCAAATGATTTAATCAACTGCATGACTGTAATACCTCTAACCGGACTCTGAGGAGATAAATCAGTATTGACCTTTAATGATCTGCAAATGAACTATGAAGTGTCTCAGAAATACAAATTTAAAGTGCTTGGACAATGAAAGGGAAAAACGTGATTATCTAAAATTTATATTTTACTCAGGTATATAACAAGGAAGAAATTAATAATGAACAAAACATTCTATAAATATAAATAACATTAGACAGTTAGAGATGCTATTCAAGGGCCATGAACCCAGATCCAATACTCACTCAGGGCAGGAGTTATATGCATTGACTGGAAAATTTTAGGTCTAACATAATAAAATAATAATAATAATAATAATAACCACTGGTTTAAATGTTGTTAAACTATGTGTGATTTTTTTGTTTATTTTGACAAGACTGAATTTCTGCTGATTGGCTTTCCTTCTCAACTATTAAACTGCCAACTGCATTTGGAAATAGTACAATTACTCGGGACAGGTATATATTTGTCATCTGTTGATACAAGCCCTTCACTTAAAGCTCATGTCCAAAATGTTGTGAGAATGTTTTTAAATGTTTATCAACCTGCCAGCCAATGAAGAATCCAACGAAACCAATTTCTTCCAATCCAATACAGAAAAGAAGAAAAAAGAAGTAAAGAAAAGAAAAAAAGAAAATTTAAGTATGTTTTTGTCTTTTCTGATAATACTAATTCCTTACACTAATATAGCGCTTTTCTGGACACTCCACTCAAAGCGCTTTACAGGTAATGAGGATCCCCCTCCATCACCACCAGTGTGCAGCCCCACCTGGCTGATGTGACAGCAGGCAGAGTGCACCAGTACACTCCAGCTCTCAGTGGGGAGGAGAGCAGAGTGAGGAAACCAGTTCAGAGATGGACATTATTAGGAGGCCATAAGTGGTAAAGGTCAATCGGACATTTGGCCAGGATGCTGGGGTAACATCCCTGCTCTTTTCGAGGAACACTCTAGGATTTTTAATGACCACAGAGAGTCGGGACCTTGGTTTTACATCTCATCTGAAGGATGGCACCTTTTTACAGTACAGTGTTCCTGTCACTATACTGGGGCATTAGGACCCACACAGACCATGGGGTGAGTGCCCCCTACTGGCCCCACTACCATCTCCTTCAGCAGCAACCTTAGTTTTTCCCCAGGAGATCTCGCATCCACGTACTGACCTGGTTTAGTGGGCTGCCAGTTGTGAGCTGCAGGGCCATCTAAGGATTTAAATTTAAATAACAGAATTATACAGTAACGCAACGGGGGCTCTGGCGGGCGCCCTTGCCGCATTAGGTCGGCCCCCCACCGTCGGGGGCTCGAACCCGGGACACCCGGGAGTTCTGCTATCACAGGGAAGGGCGGCGACGTCACCGCTCTGGTAAGCCGTCTCTTACACAGTACCTGTCGGCCGTAAGCGTTACAATACAAACCTCAGGTATAGCTAGCCCAGTAATTTATGGAACAACGCTGGCCAGAATTATTCTATTTGCTTTCATTGTAGAAGCAAAGTGTACCACCTGTCCTGTTTTATTGACTACGTTAAGACGTCTGTCGCAATCACGAGTCAACTGTATATAATGTACCAGTTTATGCACAGCAGGGTCTCCATATTTTAGTTTCACATTGCTGTACCTCGTTAGAATTTTTGAACCCGCTATTTCAGAGATGACTTGCATCTCAATGTTGAAGTTTTATATCGATTTGATGAATTATCGTGGCGCATAATGTAATCAAACCCAAACGATTATATTGCAAGAATCACAGAATACGTGTTGCTTCTAATTGCAGTATGTTTCATGGTAACCTCTCCTAATTGGAATTTGCGTCATTTTGTCGTATGAAACGACGAAGATTATAGAATTGTCTAGCTATAGGGGTGTAACCCCGGTGTTCTGGCCAAATTTCCAATTGGCCTTACCAATCATTGCCTCCTAATAATCCCCCTCTATGAATTGGCTACATTACTCTGCTCTCCTCTCCACTGATAGCTGATGTGTGGTGAGCGTTCTGGCGCACTATGGCTGCCGTCGCATCATCTAGGTGGATGCTGCACATTGGTGGTGGTGGAGGGGAGTCCCCATTACCTGTAAAGAGCTTTGAGTGGAATGTCCAGAAAATCGCTATATAAGTGTAAGCAATTATTATTATTATTATTATTATTATATTATTATAGCGTGATCAACACAGGCAGTGCGTTAGGCAGCAAATATCGTCATCGAGTCGAGTCGAGTCGCTGCCGAAAAGGACCCAAACAAGATTCGCACACGTGAGCGGTTCAGGCTGTGTGGTGTGTTTTAATATAGGGTCTCTATTGAGCTAAATAGGGTCCCAAGGTTAATAATAACAGTGTAAATCGACTATTGTTTTTCACAAACAATGAGTTGCCAGATCACTTGTGTTGGCTGGGTGAAGCGAGGAGTTGCCAAAGAAACTCCAGATAAAGTAAGTGCTGTATAGAATTAAGGGGGAAAAATACGAATTTAGCAATTACAGATATGTTAGTATTAACTGTTCTTGTTATTAATTAATATCATTATATAGATATATTGCATACGTACCAAAATATAAAAGTTAAATAATGTTAGTGTTGAAGGCTGGTTCACTTTTTATGTGTTAACAGGAAAAAAAACAAATGTTTACAGTTTTATCTAGGTGTTCTTATTATTTTCAGGTGGAGTTGAGCAAAGAGGAGCTGCAACGTCTCGTCAGCGAAGCGAAAGATGAGCTAGGGTAAATTTATTTTACCTGTTGAGCAGTTAATGGAGGGGTTAAAACGAGGTGGTGTGGATTATTGGCGATTAGGCAGAATTTAGTAAAATCTTGATAGGAATGAAGTGATTAAAATGTATCCGAATCCCTGAAAGCATTTTATAACTGTACAACCAAAATGTATTATCTTTGAAATTCATTCCGAAATCCTGTGGCTGGAAAGGAAAACATTGACAAGATGACAACACCTAATTTAAACCAGTGAAGAGAATAAAGCAAAGAACAGCAACAGTATTACTACAGTGAAAGTTTTGTTTAAATTTTACCCGGTGCCTGAAGGAGTAAATTTTCAAGACCGTTTATCTGCGATGTAAAGAAGTGGGTGGTGCTTTGTTATATGAGGGAGTTGATACAAGTGAATGTTCAAAACGTCTTGGGAGATTCTATGTACCCGAGGCTTGTCAGAGAGGTAATGTGACATCAAGGAAGCAATGAATAGCTGGGAAGGAGTCAAAGGAGAAGCCTTTTCCAGCCTTTGGGAAAAAGGTGCTGTGATGAGCTGTGCATGTCCAGTGACCTGTCAGTTGTTTTCAGGGAGGTAACAGAGGAAGGCGAGGAAGATGTTGATGAGGGGATGGGCAGTGGACAGGAGATGAGTGATGAGACCCAAGCCTCACAAGACACAGAGGAACAAGATGAAAACGAGAGCGACAGAGGGGAGGTGGATGAGCTGGCTGAATATGGGCTGGATAGGTATGACGAGGAAGACACAGGTGGGCTTAATATTCAAAAGTTGACTTTTCTCATCCTCAGTTGTGGCAGTGCTCTGTAAAACAGCTCATGTGACAAAAAAAAATCCTGCTTGGATTTATATCAAAACGAAACAAATGAGAGGGGGATATTTGGCCATCTGTCTCGTTTGTTTGTTTTTTTAGTTTTTCAGTAGTTAATACATGGATTTCATTCAGTTTTCTTAAAAGAAGCTAAAGTATCAGCTTCAACAACATAGCAGGAAGCTTGTTCCATGTTCCATGTTCCATGTTCCTACAACACAGTGTGCAAAATCCACTATTTTCTTAATTTATATTGGTAATCTGGATTCTGGTATACTTAGTAAATGAATCGCATTTACCAAAATATAAGCATTGGCAAACATTTCAGTATAAATTATTGTATATAACATTCAAAACTAGACAAACACCTGACCAATGAGGTGTCATTATTTTATATTGCTTATATCTTCTAGACATCAGGTGAAACATTGAAAAAGAGAGATGTTACAGTATATCATCATAGGGATAGAATTCCAATCAAGTAATGTTAAATTAGGATTACAGTTGTGTGCAAAGGTTTAAATACCCCTAATTGTATTATTTATAAGTGAACCGAAGGAGACAACTTGTACATGGTGCAAAGTTAAACCCAACATATTTCTGCAAATTGTGATGCATAATTAGTATTTTCAGTTTTGTAGATGTGTAATTCATTTTTAATGTTGTATACAGTTCTGCTCACCTTGTTGAAAAACTGTTGCTCTGCAAGCAGTCCACAGAAGAGTGCTCAGATGCATTCTAGGGCTTCAAAGAATGAGCCTGGATGACCTGAACCTTTTTAATCTTACACAAGGAAGACCACTAGGTGATCTTATACAAGTATTTACAATTTTCAAAGGCCTTGATAAAGTTCAGGCAGTGGACTTAAGAATCTCTGAAACACCACAAGGACACAAGTGGAAACTATCTGGAAATGGATTTAAAATGGAGAACAGGAGGATCTTCTTTACGCATAGGGTTGCTGCAGGATGGAACAAGCTGTACCATCAAGTTATTAAAGCTGATTTTTTGGCTTCTCTCAGGAAAGCGTTGGATGAAATCCGTGCATCAGTTTCCTACAAACTACTACACAGGCTAGATGACCAAACAGTCTTTAACCTTGTATATGTCCTTAGTGTAAAGAGAAGCGTCCTGCACTCAGTTGTATGAGCACTTCCCTGTAGTTTCCAAGTGTGGCATCTGGTTTGTGTTTTCCTGTTGAGTCTAAAGCAGATCTATACTTAAAATTTGTACTTGAATTTTAGGGGTGCATGATGTATCTGAGGCTGATATTTTATTCTCCGATAACTAGGAAAATTGATCATTATTGTTCCAATATTGGAATTCCGACCCATAATTACAACCAATAATGCGGCACCCTATTTTTGTTTGCGCAAGTAGTGCACACACTGACACACTTGACTGGGTACAGTACAGTTGCTGGAGAGTGAAAATGTTGGTGGTGTGGAGCCTTTTCACCATTTCAGCAGAAGACAACAGAATTGCAATCTGCAACAAATGTTCAGCCGAAGTACAGCGAGGAGGAAACAAAGTAAAGAGTTTCAATACCAGTAATCTAATTAGGCATTTGAGAACTTGTCATTCCAGTGATTTATTTAAAGAATATGAGGCAGCTAGCATTAGCAAGAGAACAAGAACAGTACCAAGTGCAGCAGTGCCTATCCAGCAGGCATTTGTAAATTACAGAAAATTTGCCAAGGACAGTCCGAAGGCTAATGCAATCAAGATGTGGAGTTTATGGCACTTGATGACCAGCCCTTTCCGATTGTGGAGGATCGATGATTCTGTCAACTAATTGAGCATTTGGAACCCTGTTATACTCTTCCAAGCCACCGCTACTGGTCCGATGTTGCTTTGCCAGCTCTGTATGATGTCGCGACACACGTACACAACCTGATCAAAGCTAATGTCAGAGGCATTAGCTTCACAACAGACACATAGGCTTCCGATGGACTTCCGATGAGTATGCTAAGCTGTACAGAGTTTTAGCTTTCTTACCCTCATTACACATCAGCTGTGGATTATAGTGTGAACTTGTTTGAAAATGCGAAAAAGTTAAATTATTGGTAGCTGTATCAGCCAAAACAAGCTGTTAATTATTGGTTATTGTTGTCGGCCCAGAAATTCTATATCGGTGCATCCTTATTGAACTTAGATTTTAAAGCCAGTGCAGTTAGGTGGAGAGCTTCCTAAACATTTGCTTTCTACAATTTCATGAATGACCTTCAGTTGTTTTGAAACATTGATGCTGGGATTAAATTAGTAAAATACCTTCGTGAGTATTCCACAAAGTTAATGATCTGTCTATCACAGTACATGTTGACATTGCACTTTTCACATAAGCCTAACTCTAATAGAAATAGAATAGAAATAAGTTATGCTTATATTGGGAGTCATTTTTATGCTTTATACCTGTGTTTAGCTGCAGCAAACTTGGGTGACAGCCTGGCAGGACTCACAGTCTTTTGCAATAATGAAGAAGACCCTTACATCACTCTTAAAGATACTGTGAGTATAATCGCAGTGCTTTGCACTGTTTCTGCATCACTATTTTTATTTCACTTCATAATTCTAATGAATCCGTCCAGTAACATGTCACTGATGTGTGGTGAATGTTTACCTGTTTTTTTCTGAAAGCATACTCACGATGACTTTATGAAATACATCCTTCTAGGAGTGTTGCTTTTTGTCTTATTTTGCTCTAGAAACCCAACCAAGGTTTTGCTTTGTTTCATTACTAATGGTTTAACTTAATATTTATATAAAGCTCTTCATTGAATGTGTATATTTTGTGTAAGAATAAGTACTTATAAGTACTAATAAGCGATTACCCCTGTTTAAACTTTATTCTCTAGGATCATTACGAACGGGAAGATTTTCAGATCAGACCTAATGACAACCTTATTGTTGCTGGCAGAGCAGAGAAGGATTGTTGTAACCTAGAAGTACATGGTGCGTATTACCATCTAAAACTCTATAATGGTTTAGCAAATCTCCATAATTGCTGTAGAATATTAATGACATCAGTGCTATTGCTGAAGTCATTAAATCTGCAAGCTCAAACTGCATCTTAAAACCTCTTGTACCATTGAAAGCAAAAAATACTTTCTATGTTTATGCCGAAGATGCTTTTAAAACAATTTTTCATGCACTCACAGTTATCAATTGCTTGTTGGTTTTTGTGCTTCTAAAGATTCTTAATTTTTTATGATGGTAAAAAAAAGGTTGTTTTTTTCTTGCATGTCTCAAGTGTTCCGTAGGAAACTCTTCATTTGAGTGGACTGTTAGCTTTTCTTCATTGGAAATGACACTGTTTCTTTTCTCTGTGCCTTCAGTTTACAATTGTGAAGAGGGCTCTTTTTATGTACACCATGACATCCTCCTGCCTGCCTATCCTTTGTGTGTAGAGTGGCTGAACTTTGACCCCAGCCCTGAAGAAAGAGCAGGTAAAACCATAAATTTAATACTACTGGTGTGGTTATAGGGGCAGACGTGGGTTTTGGACGTAACTGGAAGGTTGTGGGTTCAAATTAAGGGTGAGATACATTTTTTTTGTTTGTTTTCATGAGCAAGGTACTTGAATTATTCCAATAAAATACCCAACTACATAAACAAGTGCAGATATATATAATTTTGGATAAAAGCCTCGTCTAAATTTCCTATGGTTTACACTCCTTACTAATTTATCTCAACTCTTGTTTATTGTTACCGGCAAAAACAAGAAAAAATGACTATGTAAATTAATGATGTACATTTGGGAAATAAAAACAAATTAAGATCTACTGTAGGAAAGTACATTTTAAGACGGGTGTGAAAGTGCTAGCTGATTTGCAAGATAAGCTTGGAGAATGCTACATTAATTTGCTACGTAATGTTGTTTCTCCTTGAAAAAATCTTTATTTTTATGTAACTCTTTTCATGACGCACTATCTCAAGGTGCTGTACAATAGTCAAAAGATATAGGTATATAGACATTCAAACATTAAACAGAATTTGACAGTGCTGACTGACCTGAAAGATCTCAAGATCACTCCACTGCTCTGGAGGAACAGGACAGAAATCGCTTGTATTGTAGCATTGTATTAGAAATGGAAAGATGTCAATTCCCAAAGATTCACAAAATCCCAGAACTCTTTAGTGCCTTAAAAGTGAACAGCAGTATGTTGAATCCTATTCTGAAATTTGTAAAGACTTCCTGCAAAAAAACTAAAACCGCAGATTTGGACTCATGCAATTGTGGGGCTTTGGTTAAAATCCAAACAGCAGAGTTATGCACATCCTGCAGCTGGTTAAAATGTTTACACTAGTGAGCATTGTGCACTACACTTGCCAAGCAAAGGACAAAATATGCTTTAGCTTTTCTTCATTGGATTGGGAGAAATTGGTTTCATTGGATTCAGGTTGATTAGCATAAAATGCTCAGAACATGTCCCGAGTAATTGTACTGATTCCTCAACCATCAATAGTCAAACTGCAGTTGCCAGTTTAAGAGTTAAGAAGGAAAGCCAATCAGTAGAACTTTGGTCTTGTCAAAATAAACAAAAAATCACATTTTAACAACATTTAAACCAGTGGTTCCCAACCCTTGTCCTGTTGGTTTTATGTTTTGTTCAGCTCCAAATATTCACTGATAATTAATGTCTGCAATTGTATCTTCTTACTTCGTCAGGCTTTTAGTTATTTTTTGTCTGCTTTGTACTTGGTTTCAAGAAGATATTATTCAAGCATATTATTTCCAACAGCTTCAGCTTACAGAACTTTACCCTGTTCCTTCAGATGATAAATGTACGATTAACAGACACTTCCTAAATGAGGGGGGTTCTTAAGCTCAGAAATACGGTTAGACATAGGGTTAATATATTTCACCAATCCAATTTAAAAATGTGCTCCAAGTAGAAACATCTGTGATTAAGATCTCGGCAGGTGCAAAATCCAGAAGGGGCAGTGGTCCCCAGAAAGCACTGATCTCAGCAGCGTAATGAGGCAGAGAGGGATTAATACGTTTCAGGTTTCATGCAAACCATAAATGTGACCACCTTAAAAAAATTCTGCGATACTAGAAGGAAAGAGACCATGAGCTAAGCATTTGCAGGGCACCAGATGTGACCAACTTCGTCAAGGAGGAACACTGTACAGTTAGAACAGATTTATATTGAAGAAGCTTTTATGTTCATCTCTTGAATAAAGTGAACTGCTTTATAACTTGAAAGTCTCAGAATTTTTTTTGTGTATAAAACGAAATCAAAAAGGTGTGTAGTAAGTATCATTGGAAATGTATGAAAAAGAAATGAAACTGTACCTTTTGAAAAATTTGGTTGGACATCAGGATTACCAGAAGTTACAAAACTGTATACAGTAATCTTTCAGTTTAACAGCTTTTTTCTTAAAGATCTTCAGATTTAATGGACAAAATCTGCTAAACAAGAATTTTGAGTGTTAAACCAGAAATAACACATTTTCTTCACAGTAATGATAAAATGTAATAATAATAAAAACAAAGTTAAATATGGGTTAAATTCAACAGGTTTGTAATTCAGGTGCCCTATAGCGTAAGGTCAGCTGCTTAAGATGGGTTGGTGTTTTGTTTGCTTTAGTTAATTGTATACTGTATATTTATGACTCATGAAATAAAAAGCTTGTATATTTACAATAAAAGGAACAATTTTCAGGACTGTGTTTATTGCAATTTTTAAAAAAATCAATATTAACATGTATATACTTTTTAACAATATAAAGCACACATATATTTTTCTCTTATAATCGTGTGTTTTGGGGATGAAAAAAAATCATTTGTGATTTAACAAACATTTGGTAATAACGGACGCCCCTTCCCCATTAAACTGAGGGTTTACTGTCATGTTTTTTTGTGTGTGTGTTTAACCTTGAGTGAATCAATTCATTGTTTTCATAAGCGGTTTTCTTTAAATTTAACCCCTTTGTAGGCAACTTTGCTGCTGTTGGCAACATGACTCCTGTGATAGATGTGTGGGACCTGGATGTGGTGGATTGCTTAGAGCCGGTCTTCTCACTTGGGAGCAAGAAGTTAGCCAAGAAGAAAAAGAAAAACAAAAAGGTCTTTTTTTGTTTGCCACTCTCCGTGCCACTTATAGATAAGCTAAAACGTTTTTACGTAAATCTCCGTTAAACAACCATCCGCAATCTCTTTGCTGTGGTCTGTGCTTATTTGTATGGGATTCTTCATTGGTATAACATTGAGGAACTGGCTATTTACTGACCCAGTTCAAGTAGGTAACAGCATCAGCATGCGTAGGCTGCGAAGGAACAGGAAAGGGACACAGGGTTTCGGCTGTGGAGCCTTCTTCGGGTTTTCTGACCTAGTCCAGCAGTAAAACTGCTCCTTTCCCTCTGGTCTTAAAGCTCAAGAAAATGAATTCTCTCAGTTCGTAGTGAGAGCTGTACATTATCGGAAGTGTTGACGTTTCAGAGTGCAGCCGCAGAGGCACTAGAGGGTCATTCTGATGCGGTGCTGGACCTTTCGTGGAACAAGCTAGTTCGGTAAGTTCACTCTATAAACTTAAAACTTCACATTTTAAAGTGTGCTGTTCTTCCGAAAAGGCGAGTTCGGTCCGTGTTATTCAGTTACAGTCAATAAATGCAGTAGTCTATAGCTCCGAGAACGAGGTAGGTGTTGTGGCACATTGATAGGTGAGGGAATGTCCGAGCTGCGAGCACCTTGGAGTATCCTCTGGCCAAAATTGTAACCTGGCTCCTCTTGCTGTGTGAGCCCTGCTGTGGAAGACCTCCTGTGGCAGTGCCAGTGTTTGTGTTTGGTAAGGTATTTTTTTTTGTTCCCCTCTTTCTTTTAGAAATGTGTTAGCCAGCGCCTCTGCAGATAACACTGTGGTACTGTGGGACCTGACACAGGGCAAACCAGCCTCCACGCTGACGCGCCACACAGACAAGGTAAGGGCACTGGCTTCATTCGTTCACTGCTTTTAAACCTTCATGTCCGTTTACAGAAAGTGTTCTTCAGCTACACGTTGTATTTTTAAAGAATGTCATTTTCATGAGTAAAATAAAAATAGAGGGTACAGTTAGGGTGATGTTGTAAGTGAAATAATATGGGGATCTGTACGAGGACCCTCTGCTCTTCTCAAATTCTTCTAATTATATATGGTTATAATCATCCAGATAATGGAATAGTTTTTTAAGTTTGCAGATGTTGCCAAAATTAGGAGGATTCGCAAACGCTGTAGAAGCGTCAAATTAAATTAAAAAGATTCTAGATAAAAATTCACAACCGGGCAAACACCTGCCAATGAGATAATGTTTGATAAATATTCTTTAGCATTAACAATTTCAGTGAGAATATAGTGTCGGCGTAGAGTTTTTTCTATCTTTAATATGTACACACTGAGCTGTACATGCTTAAACAAAATGGGGGCAGGTGAATATAGTGGACATACATGTGCTGAGAATTGAATACTAAGAGAAAACTCCTGCGCGATACTCCAATTGCACGATGCAGAAGACGCTAAAAGCGAGTTCTAGCCAGATGCTTCTGAGCGCGGCGTGGGGCAGACTCGGGGTAGATCAGGAATCCCGTGAAAGTGATGTACCGGCCCTGGTTGCTGTAGACGGCGAATCGCTCGTGTGGCTGGCTGTACAGCCAGACGGTCTCGCCCTCGCGAAGGGAGAGCATGAGGCTCTGGCTCTGCATCGCCCGGTGCTTGGAGTCGTCTTCGTCGAAGACCATGGCCTGGACGTCGCCCCCGTTCTTCACGAGCTTCACCGAGACGCACCTCGAGGGGTGCTTGCCCACGGTGAAGGCGAAGTAGTAGGCTCCGGGAAAGCGGCAGGTGAAGCGCCCCGAGGATTTGTCGAAGTGGCCCCCGATGTTTACGTACTCCACGTCGAAGCTGAGCGCCTGCTTCTCCCCCCTGCTGGTGGCCTCTCCCAGGAGGGAGCGCGTCCTGGCCACGGAAAAGGCAGAGCGGGGCTCCTCCTCCTCCTCCTCCTCCGCCATCGCCGCCCACGGCTCCGACAGCAGGGCGTGCTTGGACTCGTGAGCCCACAAGGGAGGGCACCCCGAGTGGGGCTGCCCTGGGGGCTGAGCGGCTACGTGCTTGTTCGGGTAGCCAGGGGGGAGATCGGGGTACACCAGGTAGCCAGAGAACGTGGTGTATGGCCCCTTGTTGCTGTACAAGGCGTACTTGGCGTCCCCGTGCAGAAGGAGCCAGACGGTGTCCATTGGCCGCAGGCTGAGCATGACGCTCTGGCTCTGCACCTTTCTCCTCCTGTGCCGGTGCTCGTCGTACACGATGGCCTGCACCTCCTGGCCGTTCTTCACCAGCATGACCGACAGCCTCTTCCGGGGATGTTTCCCCACGGTGAAGGCGAAGTAGTACGCGCCGGGCACCCGGCAGCGGAACCGCCCCGTGTCGGGGTTGAAGTCGTCCCCGACGTTGACGAGCAGCTTGTCGAAGGTGACCGCTTTCTGGGGGCCGCCCACCATGCCCTCGGTTCTGGCGGCAGAGAAAGCCGACTGGTAGGGCCGCCCTGGGTGGGGATGGAAAGGCGAGGAGAGGGCCGCATGAACCAGGAGACAGGTCAGAGAGGCCACGTGCCACACGGTGCTCCGTAAAGCCATTTCACCTGGGAAGTGCAAGGACAAAAGTGATTCAAAAGGCACCGTCATCCCTGCGAGATTAAAAAGAAACGTAGTGTGCTGACCACTGTGTGATTGTTGTGTGGGAAAGTGTTTAGGAACACGATGTCCCATGAGTGGAACATTGAGTGACACTGCCAGAACATTAACAGAGATTTCTTGCTTTGTAAGAAAACTAATGACCCCCCGTTGCCCAGTATTACAAATTTAATTTCAGTATTAAAAGGTTTATATGTTAATGAACTGATTTCTGAAAGGAGACCATTAAATTGGTCGGTGAATTGCTTATTTTTAGCCATTTCTTTTCTTCCTGAAGATTAGCATCCCCCTCAAAACGTTCAACTAACATTATATCTCTCTCATTGTTTAAAATCAACTTAACCTTTTGGGTCCTGTAAAGTAGCTTTGTAGGCTTCCAAGCCAACCATGTGCTTTGAAGCCATGACAAACTGTAATCTATTTTTCATTTCTCAGCATTAGAAAAATTCATTTCTTGCATTTCTTGAAAAGAATTGGGTATTCAGTATGTGACTGAGCTTTAAGGGAAAGTATATTGAGTTGTACAGGTACAAATTGGATCAAATCAGGCTGATGCTTGGTTTTAATATTGGTTGATCTCAAGGAGAATATGGTGTTGGATCCACTTCCATCGTTAAGCTTAAATAATTACTTGCAACTTCTTATGGGCTTAGAAGATCTTGTAGCTGGTTTGTGAACTTGGTTAGTGGTGTCTTTTTTTTCCTGTATCGGACCAGTGTAACCCATATAGTAGCAAAGAAATCTGGCTTTAGTGCTGTCAGAACTAATCCTGGTCTTCAAAACCAATGGCTTAGTGGAAGCAACAGTTGTTTTGATTTGGCTGGTATTGTCTGGTCTTTCAGTGCACTGAGAGAATGCAGTAGATTAAACACTGGTTGGTCTGTTCCTGTGTCCTTGAACAATAGCATGTTTTAAAGAGCGGGATTCATCTCCGACCTTCTCTTTCAGCATAGACCTCTAGCCAGTGTAGATGAAAGATCACATGTAGGGGTGAGTGGTCATTCACTTGGATACTGTGCCCTGCTGCATAACTATTATGCTTCCTGACATGTTCATGTCCTACACTGGCAACACGGTTGACGTCTAAATGCATTTTCCCAGCATGGATAATGAGAAAATGGATAAATCCATCACACTTTTTATTGTGCTTGGGGACTGGCTTATTTTGAATTCTCTGTATTAGTAGTAGTGATAATGAGAATCATTTGGTAGCTTGTTGTGCCCACAATGGCAACATCATTTTTCAGTAATAAATTTGTCAGAACCTTCTAGTAATAGTAGTATTTCTTGAGAAATATCTTTGTGGGGTATTCAGGTCGCCTTTACATAAGATTACTGTTCGTCTTGGCTTCAAAGCCCATGGTTACTTAGAAGCCCTCTAAATTGCTTTGCAGGACCCCGTATGTTTCTTGATTTAAAACAAAATAGATAAAATCTTTATGGAATGTTTTGTTAGAAGAAAAAAAATGCAGTTTTTCTGTCAGTTAATACTACTGAGGAAAACAGTTTTTCAGAGAGAAAAACAATGCTAAAGAATAACTTGAACTCCATAGCTCAAACAGTTTACTTTAAAATCATTTTGACAAAATATACAGTGATGAGGCGATACTAAAGACCATATTTTTCATGGCACCAGTCAACACCGTCATACCAAGCAGTTCAGTAGGAGGACCTCTGGGAGTTAGGAGTCTCAAACTGATCGAGATTATCACCCACTTGCTGTAAAGATTCATGCAGTTTCTGTAATAGTGGTGCTAACTCTGTTCTGGGCTCTCGCAGTCTGGTCTGCCTTTCTTCAAATGATGAAGAAATCTCTCCTTTTTCCAAACCAGTAAGGTGACACTGGAAAACCGTGCTGTAGGTCCTTAAAGGCCTTATGACCCCAAGCTTCTCTCCTTGTCTGTGTGTCTCATGGAGGGCAAGGAGTATGCGAAAAGAAAGATTCCTATTACAAGAAATTGTATATGGGCAATAAAGGAATCTTATGGCATTCTTGCGAGAGCTGGGCTGTGAGCCTCAGGTAACTATATGCTGTGTGTGCAGAATCTGTCCCTCTAAGTCTCTCTTAATGCTGTCAGTGTCGCTTTTCACTTCTCCACCTGATCTGCTCTGTAGTGGAGCTGCTTGTACAGAAGGGCAGCCACATGCCTCCAAGGTGAGGGCTGCGCTTCAGTGGTGAATGAAATGGATTCCCTCCTATATGCAAGGCATTCTGGAATCCCCTGGCATAAAAGATGCTATTCCAGTGCAATCTTTTTTTTTTTTCTGAGCACGTCCTTAATTATTATTGCAGTCTGATCCTACGATAAGAGCAACTTTTGAGTTTTGCAGAACCCCTGAAGGGTCATGCTTCCTTCTGCAAGTACTTCAGCCAGGGGTAGTCCCCAAACGTGGAGAAATGGGGGATGATAGTTGCCCCTCATACCTTCCCCTGTTGTTTTTAGAGTTGGAGTGTCTCAGCTTTATGAGACGTTGTTCATCCTTGCCCTGAATGCTGAGTTGCTAGCTGCCTGCAATGCCAAATAAAATCACCTTTTAACCTTATCAGATAGCAATACCTCATCATGTCCTTTTCAGGTGCTGCATATTTCAGGCAAGTGATGCAAGAATATATAAAGTCTACAGTCTGGTGTTTTTCCATATTCTGCTATAGTTTTCTTTTTTACCTGTATTTTCATGGTACTGTGTTTTACAGCTCACAATTCCGTGTTTACACCTCTGGGTATTCAAGCACTGTGCTTTTTGTTTCTGTAAGAAAACATCTTAATAGGTGGGGTGTCCTGTCGATGTTAGTTGAGTATTAGAATTGCAGTTTCTGAATTTTGAATTAGGAAAAAAGTAATTAAACCCTCATACTGTAATGATTTGGACTTCCAGTATCAGGCTTAAAGAAGGTATAATGTCTAAATCCAATGTGTTCCTGCACATCTGTATTATCAGGACTGTCTGCCATTAAGACAAGTGATAATGACAGAGGTGTTGGCTTTGATGTTTTAGGCAAGTTCTTGAGCTCTGCATTCCCACTCTGGTCTTCACTCATTAAAGTCATGAAGTCCTTCCATTAGGCACTTAGCTAAATTAGAACATCTTATGCTCTCATTTTGACACACTTTAATGGGCCTCTTGTGACCTGGAACTGTAATACACTTTTCATTACAATTCAGATCTTTACTTGTCTAAACAGAATATACTGTAGTATTCTTCTTTAATGAAAGAGTAGTCTGCCTAGCCTTGTCATTTCCTCCAAGTGTCCCTTACTGTACTGTGAGCGTACATGGGGTGTGTTTAGCTAAAACTCTGTCAACGACCATCAGAAGCAGCAAGTCTGTTTCTTATTCTTATTAGTCTCATCAGTATCCCTAATTTAGGTTTATGAGCTATGAGCCCAAAATGTATTATGTTATTAAATCATATTCGTAGTCATTTGTTTGCTGAGCCATTGTACGTGCAGTCAGAAAGACATCAATAGCTCAAAATCATAATTAAACGCCTCAAAATGCAGTCAGAGAGCGCCTCTGGGAGAAGAGAGAACGGTTTAGAATTTTTCTTTCATTCTGCATTGCAACAGTAACTTATGTTATTATTTTTCTTTAAAGTAAAAAAGCATTGTCAATCAGCTAAACAGGTGTGACTTCTGTAACTCTGCTTTGACAGAAGCAACAAATAGACTGATTAGGCTGCCCTGGGGTCCATTTCTGCTAGCAGTCCCTACCCGTGGAGAGAGAGCTGCTGCTGGAAAAGGGGCAGGGGTGGGAAGCCCTGACTAATGCCCGACTGCTAGTGTGGCAGAATCAACTCTATACTCGTCTGCATTCATTTTCCCATGGTCTTGGGGGACTGGGAAAAAGGCACCTTCGTACATTCAATTTTAAAAGTCTCTCTCCTTTCTACTTCCAAATGTACAATGAATTTCTTCATGTTGGGGGAAAAAAAACTTCATGCTCTTTATAACGAGACATAAATGATTGATCGAGATGATAGGAGAGGTAGCGTAGCCACTTATTTCCTATTAATGCTCAGATGTGTATCCTAACCCACAGTGAGTAGGAAACAGTTTTTTAGAAAATGAATTGATCTGCTTGATTCCTACCTGCCGTCTTGTAGCAGAGTGCTAGTGTCCCTCCAGCCAGCTGGGCTCCTAGCTCAGATCAGAGTGAGAGCCCTCTTCTGCCGGGAAGCCAAGTGTCAGGCTTCATGAGCTTGGGCTGATACAACTGGGAGCTAAGGAATGACAGAGCCCACGAGCTGGGGGAGGAGCTGTGAAATTATACCTTCTGTATGCCCCTGTTCCTTTAACCCTTCAGACCCTCCCCACCCATTATCACTTGATACAGTGACTGGCAGGCCAGGCAGGTGGTTTGCTGTCTACTCTGTTTGCTGAAAAATGTTCATTTGTCTGCAAATCTTACATATTATAATTGATGTTTATTTAGAACATATCTTTGATGACCCTCAATAAAAAAGCTTTTATATCAATAAGACATTTAATTGCCAGCAACTACTGCTGCATGCTGTATTGTTGTGCATTTGATAAACTTTGATAGATTGATTTTTAGTAGTCTGTTACCAAAATTACCCAAAAAAATTCATGGGTAATTCTATGGACAGCCAGCAGTATTGGACTCTTCTTTTCTCCTCCTCCTCCTCCTGTTAGGCTGATGAAGAGAGGGTACACCAGACTGTAACACAATACAGTGTATTTTTACAGTATAAACAGCACAGTGCAGCAATATATTAAGTTTGGATGTATATATCCAGAAATTACATATAGTGTGTGTGTGTATATACACTTTTTAAATAATCAAAGTGAGTTTTGGGGCTGAAAATACATCATTTGTGGTTTAACAGACATTTGGCAGGTAGAGACACCCCTTCCCACATATTACTCCATTAAACTGAGGTGATGGAGGGTTTAGTGGAGGTGTTTGCCCAATTCTGAATTTGATCTAAATGTTGTGGAATTTCTTCTGGAGATTCTTTGCTGTTTACTACTCCTCCTGTTTGGAACCATCTGCAAACTTCAGTAGTTACCTACCCATGCCAGTCTAGATTATTAATATAAATCAAAAAGATCAGTGGTCCTAATACAGTTCCTAGTGAGCAATTACCCCTTATCTGTACTATATTAAAAAATCCTTATCTGTTTTCTGTCCATTAACCATTCATTTTCCAAGTATACACACTACCTTGAGTGGCTATCAAAAAAATGCAAATTGAGGAATACACTTGAATGCTAAAAAGCTATTTACTTCTTTCTTTTAGTTTTTGGCTTTGAATGCATGGCGTACATGGTAAATGTAACAAGTATTAATTGCCAATACAAAGTGGCGTATTGTCAAGCTTTAAAGCTGTAAAATGAGAAAACTGTGCAAGGGTGTCAATGTTTTTGGAAGACACCATATCCTGTTCCATTTTGCTTCTCTTGAACTGTGTCATTCCTGAGAGCATTTCTAAAATTGTAAAACTTTGTTTTATGGAAACTGCAATGTGATGCGGACATCTTTCCATTAACTATAGTTATCTCCAAACAATTCTATTAATAAGGTAACATTTAGGAAATATCCTTTTTTTAGGTTCAGACGCTGAAGTTCCATCCCTTTGAAGCTCAGACCCTGATTTCTGGATCATTTGATAAGTGAGTGGCATAACTTTTAAACAAGTGCAAAACAGAGGAGATTAAAGCACTCTGCATTGCAGCCCAGTCTTCTGGCACACCAATAAGTTTTTTCATATTCCCTCTCAGCTGCATATGTGCACAGGTGTGCTTTAACTTCAGTGGTTTTATGCACAAAACATTAAAGGCTACACAGCAATGTAGGATGTAATAGCGGAACCCCAGATCCTGCTGGCAAATTGAGATGTGCAGTTCTCGAACGGTTCATTCTTGAACAGATCATTTTTGTGGATTGATTTACTAAGTCACAGTGAAATAAGTCGAGCATCGAAATGATTGAAAATTCAATCTCTTTTCAAAATTCAGGGGCCAAACTCGTTTTGAATGTGATGCAGTAAATTATGAAGCAATCAGAAATTGTGAAACTCAAACACAAACAAATATCCCTCATATTAATAGGGAAATGTAATTGGAATTAATTTTAAAAAATTAGAGGAGAACATTGGTTTAACATTTGTTGAATAAGACCTATATGGTTTGTGCTAAAGATGGATAGAACATGTCAAAACCGATTGGCCTTTGATTTCTGAAGTTTACAAGCTTTGAGTTCCTTTGTAAATTTTAGCATAACTTTAGACAGGAAAATTCACATTGGTGTTTTCCTTCCAGATCCACAGTCCTGTATGATTGTAGAAGTCCACAAGAGAACCACAGAACCTGGAGATTCAGCGGCCAGGTGGAGAGAGTGGTGTGGAACCATTTCTCTCCATGCAATTTTTTGGTAAGTTTCCCAAACATTTAACAGCTTCTCCTTCCTGAAAACTCAGTCTAGTGACTAGAAAGTATATTGCCAGGTCTTAGATTGAACACACTCGGAATTCATGTAATTCCATTCCTTTCTTGTCTCATTTTACTTGGTGTTCATGTTTTGAAGCTTGTTTTGTCTTGCAGACCAGCACAGAAGATGGCTTTGTTTACTGTTTAGATGCTCGGTCAGATAAGCCTGTCTTTACACTCAGAGCTCACGATGAAGAGGTGTCGGGTATGAAACTGGTTTAGTTCATTAGTATTGCAGAAATGTATGTACTTGCAAAGTGAGCTTTTAAATGCTCCAATGACCAGCAGTTACCAGATTTGGTTTTTACATTTATTACCTACAGAATCTACTACTTTTTCTTATAATTGTGTTTAATATATTTAGTCTCTTTATATAAAACTTTTTTTTTCTGTCAAGTGGCTCAGATGGGACCCGAAAATGCATTTTTGGTGGACTACTTTGGATCTTAATTCTTTGCATCTAAAGAACAAGTATATACTGTACATATTTTTATTTAATTAACGCAATACTTGCTGACTTTAAGTTGTATGGAAAGCATGTAATTGATCTTTCCAAAACACATAGAATACACCTATGTGTCTTTACTCTGCATTATGCTATTTTCTGGTCTCCTTCATGTTTTAATTAAAATTCAGATGACAACGCCCAGCAAACTCTTTATACCATATATTTGCTTTAAAAAATGTTAGTACATTGTAGTCCGCCCTGATGTCACAGGACAGAGCCCGACTTTCTCACCTTGTTCTTTCCCAGGCTTGGACCTGAGCAGTCAGATAAAGGGGTGCCTTGTGACATGCTCTTCAGACAAGCACGTGAAGATCTGGGATATCCTGGGAAGCAAGCCGACTCTCGTCCACTCCAGAGATATGAAAATGGTGAATAGAATCGATCTGGAAAACTAAGCTTAAGGTTCTTTCCCTCCCTCCTTATCCATCCCTCCAGTCCACGTGTAGCCACTCTTCCACCCCCAGGGCTCTTCATCTTTCCTGTTTAATGCTGTATCTATAGTATCTTAAACTACTTTTCAGAAAATTAAAGCAAGAATGATTTTTAAACCCAGATCCTTACTTTGTGTCTTTACCAGGGAGTGCTATTCTGTGCGTCCTGCTGTCCAGACCTTCCGTTTGTTTATGCCTTTGGTGGACAGAAAGAAGGACTGCGCATCTGGGACATAAGTGACGTCGCTGCAGGTACCTTATACAAGATCACTTTATTAGCCCTGTACAATTTTTTGCATTAGGAATTTTTCTTTTCGCATACCCCAGCTTGCTCTCCATGAGACACACAGACAGGGAGAGAGAAGCTTGGGGTGAGGGCGCAGGGTCAGCCATTTATACAGCACCTCTGGAGCAGCTGGGGTTAAGGGCCTTGCTCAGGGGACCAACAGAGAAGGATTCCTCTACATGTGGAAATGTCTTACATTTTTCAGGCTTCATGGGGATTGCTGTAGGGTGTGCTGTAGGTTGTCTGTGGGCTTACACAGCTCTTTGTTTTCTTTGCAGTGAATGCAGCCTTTGGAAACCGGCAGAGGCTGGTGGTGGACACCACATCAGAGGCTGCAGATAGCAGTAGCACGACTGCAATGGAGCCCTAGTTCTGCCCCCTCCGCTGGAGCCGAACACTGCACTTTGACTTGCTGATCCGATTAGCGAGGGAGAATTTGGACCACAAAAAATCAGAAACCTAAGGCCTGTCCTCTTACTGCACAGGGAGAACAGTGTGTCATGGGGAAACAACATTGAAAACCAGCTGGTGTGAAGACTTTTCGTATCAAGATGACACCTTGTTAAAACGGCCAAATCGCAGTGTTTCTTTTATTACAGATAAAATAGCCTCTGTCTCAGATCTGCACCTTCCTGAAATGCTTCCTGTTTTAACAGTTGTAATCTAAATGGTGAGTTTTGCAAGAAGATTTAGGAGATTTGTTTATTGGAATTTGTGTCCTGGGCACCTGTTGTTAGTACATTCAAGACGACAGATACTCTACTTTTTTGAAGTGTGAAAACATGACCCATAGTCAATGTGTTCTCTTATACAGAAGAAGCATTCATTCAAAGCTGTCTGCCTTTTGTTTTCCAGTTACTTTTTTTTTTTTAGCAGGTCAGAGAGTTCACCATGTTCCCTGATGTTTACATGCATTTGTTATATGAATACATTGAAGGACCCATTTACTGTACATTAGTTGTGTAAGCAGCACTGGTAAATCCATGACAAATTCCTCTCTGATTTTTGTCTTATTTAACCTCATGGTACCTGGGGCTCAAAGAGGCTTACTTTTATGTCAAGAGTATCTCATTAAATTAATTCTTATGACTAGAGCAAACGTATAGTTGATTTGAATCTTAAACACACATTGGGAACATGGTACCTAAGAGAAAACCACCACTGTAAAACTGGAGTTCAATTATGTAATTGGAAGAATGAAGTTTTTCAACTACAATAAACTACGAGAAGTCCAGGATAGTGTCAGAAATGTCACTTTATTTCCATTAAGCACCATCTCTAATGAAAAAGGCTGTGGGGAAAAGTCTCATTCAAAGCTCTAATTGTAAAGGGGGGGGGCTTTTCTCTACTGTAATACTTGTAATCAGACATGCCTGACTTAAAACCATTGTGTGCAACAAATAATCTTTTTCTTTGGGTAGTCAGTGCAATAAATGCAGTGATCACTTCCATAAATGAAAAAGGTTCCAGACTTGTCCTTCCAATAGTATTGCACCTGGGTGACAGGAACAGCTTTTAGCATTTGTCTCTGCTGAATGATCCGGCAGTCTCTGCAGGTTCTGCGAGACTCCTCCACCAGCCTCTGGGAAATGCTGTTAATTTCATCTACGGTGCTGGTGGAAAAGCCATGCAGTTGCTCGGCTGTGGACTCGTAAAGAACCTCTCCGGGAGCCGAGGGCAGCAGGTGCCCGGGAATATTGGCAGTACTGTGGATGTGATCGCCGAGGTTGCATTTGTGTTCCACCCTCAGTTCTTGAAAGTAGCCCAGCTGTCCCTTCCCAATGCATGTTTCACAGCACACTCTGCCCAGGGCCATGCATGCTGCACAGGGTACCAGCCTCTGTCCGTTGCAGCCCCAGCACAGTCTCCTCTTGGAGCTCCACCCGGACCCATGACACACGGGGCACCTGACTTTGCCAGAGGCCTGGCAGAAACTGCACGGTGTCCATTTTTGTCCCCTGCAGCCTGGGCAGCCCTTCACTACATCTGTGCCTGGTATGCGGATATACTGGACCTGGTTCTGGAACATTTTTGCTGGAGACGCAGAAAGATCCCAGGGTGCTGGTTCCTCCCTGTCCTTGGGCCCAGACGTGCGGAGGATCTTGTAGGTGTGGGGTTGGTACCGGGTGCATACAGCCCTGTGCTCTGCAAAAGTCTCCAGAGAGTAATAATAAGCAGCTTCTTGCCTTATGCTGGTAAAAACCATCTCTCTGGCAGCTTTGGAGGAAAGAAGAGTTTTCTTCTTAACCCATTTGAGCAGAGCCGATCGGATCGCTGGCGGTGTTAGAGGCACCAGTTCTAAAGAAGGAAAGATTTCTCGCGGGGTCTTCTTAATTGTCTGTTCCTCAACAGGCGGTGGAATTGTGCAGTATTGAGTAATATCCAGTAGTAAGTCATATCTGTATGCATCATTTTGGAGACTCTCCATTTCTGGGCTTACATGATTGTTCTCAATAAATTGCAGAAATTCCTGATGCACGTGCTATTGTTCTCCCTTAGAATTGGTCAGCAGCTTGTTCAGACTACCCATGTGATTTTTTTACTTCTGGTGTTGTGACATTTCCTAAAGTTCTGTGATGTCATAAATTCTCTTCTATGTCACAATTGATCTTTTGTTGTGTCGTGTTCTGCTTAATTCACATGTACAAATGCCAAGTTCTAGTTTAAGGTGCTTAAGAGTTTAAGAGTTTAAGAGGCGAGGAATATCCAAATTAATCCTGTAACAGTGGCATTCTGAAACTTGAAGTAAAGAATAATTGCATAAACAAATAATTAAATCACATTAGTGACGTGCCAGTAGGTACAAGCGTCATGTAGAGCTGGGGGTCTCCTGTCCTGATCCTGGTGATGCCCACACACCCGCTGGGTTTTGTTCCAGCTGTACTCTTTGCCCCCTTTGGAAAGTTTATTTTCCGTTTTAAAACGGGACATTACTTGATAAAATACAACAGAGGAAGGAAAACTATAATCTTTTAAGAGCCGAAAACAGAATTCTAATCGATTGTATTACTATTTCTATTACTGTGTTACTAGTTTTAAGAGGTCAAGTCTGTAACTGAGGGCTCAGCTGGTACCAATGGCCACAGGTGAATGGATCCCAGAACCAGAATTAATAGGTAACTGGACAAGGCTTTTGAGTGTTTGAATACTCCAGTGCTGGCTGCAAAAAGCAATAGTGATAAAGCCTTAGTTTATGGGTTACAAAGGGCACATTCCTAATGAACTATTATCCTAATGAACAGTTAGCTATACATTAGTATTGAGTAATAAGGTTTCTCCGGAATAATCTATTTACATACACATATGAGAACAGTGCAATTTTCTTGATAGATATGTATTATGTCTCAGTGGATATCGGTCTCTTTCAAGTTATTGACACATTTTTACAGATTGCAAAAGGTTTTAAAAATACAATTTGCAACCCTCAGGCTGAAGGGTTACTGCAATGGCGTGTTGAGACTAGTAGAAGTAGTACATTTGAAAGAGTTCAAATGTAGAGTTCAAATTATCCCGTTCAAACGGATCACAATGTGTATATCCTTTGTTTCCTATACGGAGCGTTTTTGACGTTGAACACATTACTTATTCGACCAGCATGGCGGCGGGACAAGCGTTCAGGTTAAGCTGTTTATACGGACGACTACTGTGCTTTGCCAAACCAAAGGGTTTTCAAGGTTGGTGATAATTTTGAATCAGCGCTTAATTTTATGTCTAACCAACAAGGTTAGGGTTATATTCGATGTGTAGTTGTAGAGAGCGTATTGTTGAGATTTCCTTTTACACTAAATGTATAGTTGGAACGTATTTCATTTCGTTATGTAAAAATAAATATGTAAAATCTTGTCATTAGAATTGAACTAAAAGGAGACCATCTTTGTCGGACAATTTTAAATGATCAGGCTTGACACTGTCCTTCACGACACCGACTGCTCTAACATGGCGATCAGTGTAGAGCTACGGTTAACGTAGAGAGTAAATCCGAAGTTTCATCGACGTAAATGAAGGGTGTTACTGTAATTACAGCCACAGTTTCAGGCTTTAATGATCTTGTCATTGGTGCGTTTAAATATAGTTTGCAGGTATCACATCTTGGATTATATGGGAAGTAAGGGTGTATTCCAATCCAGGCATACCTCACTGTTTCTCCATTAATCTAGTTCATTTCATAGTTTGCGTTTTATGTTAACTAGGTTTTAAAAGACATAATACATAGATTGGAATTCTTTTTTCACATCTCCGGCAACGGCAAAGATAAATGGATAGTTACCTCTGTAGCCCTGTAACAAAACACTTTCACATAGGAACTGTTCACATTTTATGATTTTAGATGTTATTGTTATGGTTTCTCTAGTTCTAAACTCTTGCTCATATTATACACTACTTTTGTAGACATTCAAATGTTATCTTCACCCCTTCAAAGATGTGGCAATGTGTATTATGTACTGATTATATTGATAGTTTAATCCTAAAGCCTTTTTGAGGGTCATTAATTCAGACAGTTGAGCAGGTAGACAGTAGAGCTGAAAACAGAAAATCATAAGCACGTCTACATAATTTGATAATGATTCTATCTGATTTAAATGTTATTTTTCCTTTAAGAGGAACAACTAAAAGTCACTCAAGGAATTGACAGTTGTATATTTCTTTCCATTTTAATTCCAGCCTCTATAAAAATATGCAAGTATGTATTTAGTTTGCACTAAATTTACAGGCGTTCCATGTAACCCTCTCTACAGAAGAACCTATAAAACTGTTAACATTGTACAAGTTTCAATTCTGAAAATCACTCCAAAGTAGTTAGAATCCAAGTATATGCACCCTCCCCAACAAATCCAAACTAACTGGAGTGTATCCCGGCAAATTTATTGAACTTTTTCATACTGTTTTATACCTGACCTCCAACTTATGCTACACAACGTATTATGATGATCTTGATGCTGACGTTTTTGCTGATTTGACACAGAATTACCTTTGTGTTCCGCAGCTATAAATCTAAAGTGCACTCATCCCAAATCCACACACAGCATCTTTTCAGAAGACTACAGTTGGTAAGTTTACTGTAACGACATTAATTTCTACGTAAAGAACCATCTTGCCTGAGTCATTAAATTTAGTCACATTCATATTTTGCTTCCATTTATGTCACAGGTGTTCAAAACTGAATTTAGGTTTTTGGAAAACTTAATGTACCTTCAAATCTTTCTTCTGTGCAAAAGGCTCTGGAGCATGTTGTGGTCACTTACTTATAAAAGCGTCTGTCCAGAATTAAGTTATATATGCCTTTCAGTTTGTGTTTTTCCCCAGCTCGCAGGATAGAAACATATTCAGCTTGGGTTGAAATTCCTCTGTTAGTGATTGTGGTTTCTGTTTCCTTTGCCATTCTGATGTGACGTAATCAGAATTTGATCACGACATCCTCCTGGAATGTCTTAAAAGATACAGTTTGCATTGCTGACACTGTCCTCTGTTGGCTTAAGCTTTATTGGAACAGGTAAAGGTTTGTGCAGCCTTCCTCAGCTGAAGTGCTGTGTCTCTTTTCTTTTCCTTTCAGCATGGAATACACTTTTACCTGTTTCTAGCAGCCTATGCAAGCTGATGCAGCCACCTACTTGAGATTTATCTTGGCGATAGGGGACAATTTGTGTTCCTTGATCATTGTATAGATATGTTGTAAATTTGGCATTGGTGAGAATTCTTATTATACAAATTTGCCACATTGTGGAGTACGATGCACAACTACTGATGCCGTTGGTTATAACTCTTTACCAAGACATGGATTCCTAGATGTAGCAGCATTTTACTAAATTGAATACAAATAAAATTGACGGTATGAGTGGTGCTCAGTGTCAGAATCTTGATTTTACGAAAGTGTTTTTTGGTGCGTTTTTTCATTCTGCTTTAAGCTTTGAACCTGACATTCTGAGTGCTGAGCATATGTTTCCCCTCTATATAATATTTCCCTCTATCAAATCTTGCACATTTCTCAGAGGTTGAGAAACCTGTCCACACCTTTGTTTTTCATAGGATTGGCAATACTCTGCTTCCTGGCATCTCTGAAAACCAATCGAATGACTTTGGTTTGTACAATCTAGTAGTGCATTCAAAATCTTTCTATTCAAGTCACCTATGATGCAATCACTGCACTAGTTTCCTGTAAAATATAGAATGTATTTTCATATTTTGCTGAGAATCTCAAAAGGTTTGCACTTACGTCCACTGTATTTGATGATATTTTTCAACTTTATACTTATACTTATAACTTATGTTCAGAAGATACCAATTTGCTGCTTGTGCTTCAACATTGGTGGGAATCCACTTCATCTCCTTTTCAAGTGTACCTGGACACTACTAAACCACCAGTAGCACCACTAAATATCAAATTGGGTGGAGAAGTGATAACTTACTGTAGTCTATATCTTCCACAAAAAGTGTCATTTGTACATGACATGAGTACATATCTATCGAGATGGGAATTCAGTACATTACTAGAGCCCAGTCATATGTGCTTAGTTTTTTTTACAATGGCTAAAAACATTTAATTTAGACTTTAAATTAGGTATAATTGTGGTGTTAAAGTGCTTTTGCATGCTGCTAGTCATCACTGTATCCTAGAGTGCATTGCAGAGATTGGAAGAAACAACACAGAAGTAACCAGATGCTTTATTTTTTTAAATTCTTTTGCCTGTGGAATGTGCAGGTGAAGGCTGAATCTTCATGCTGTAACTTTTCAATGATAATAATAGTAATAATAGAATTCCTTACACTTACATAGTGCTTTTCTGGACATTCCATTCAAAGCGCTTTACGGATAGTGGGGACTCCCCTCCACCAGTGGTGTGTAGCCCCACCAGGATGATGCGATGGCAGCTAGAGTGCTCCAGTACACTCCCCACACACCAGCTCTCAGTGGGGAGGAGAGCAAAGTGATGAAGCCAGTTCAGAGATGGGCATTATTAGGAGACCATGATTGGGAAAGACCATTGGGAAATTTGGCCAGGACGCCAGGGTAATACCCCTACTGATTTCAAGAAACACCCTGTGATTTTTAACTATATATATATACTGGGGCATTAGGACCCACACAGACCGCAGGGTGAGCGCCTTCTACTGGCCCCACTAATGTCTCTTCCAGCAGAAACCTTAGTTTTTCCCAAGAGGTCTCCGCTCCAGGTACTGACCAGGCTCACACCTGCTGAGCTTCAGGTGGCTGGCATTTGTGAGTTGTAGGGTGATATGGCTGCTGGCGGGAATAGTTTAAGTGTCACATTTATTTATTTTTTTTATTCCATTGCTCACAGCAAAGTGGACCTTGCCTTGACATCAGATGGCAGAACCATAGTGTGTTACCACCCTGCAGTGGACGTCCCCTACGAACACACCCAGGTACACCCTGCAGGACATCACCTTCATCATAATAGCAAATCGCGTTACAGGCAGATTGCAACAGAAGGTTTTCAGATCCAGTCAGAGCACCAGCTTGGTGTTTTTCTAGGTGCATTTGTGTCTTATGCACTTACTGTAGGACAGCACCATCTCTGATCACCTTCCACCACAATATCAAGACCCACATTGTAGCATTTACTTTTAGATCGTATTCCTTACTGTTGTGACTTCTGTCTTGATTGATTATGCTGATTGATATTTTTCTTCTAAAGTTAATTGACAGTTTTGAATGTAACCTTGTTTACAGCTGACGGTTAAATTAAGTAACATCATCAAGTGAATGAATTCTATTTAAGCACCGTATCACCTTTGGCGCGAGGTCGCTTTTGGTAGTGGATCTTACCATGGTCCTAGGTTTGCGGGTGCCTGTCATGTCATTTGGTTTTGTTAAATTTTCTTGCATCGAGTGGTAAGCTCATTTCAATTATAGAACATTTCCAGGCATGACTTAAATTTGGTATTAAATTTAAATTTAAAATTAATAGCACCCTGGAGTCATGCAATGCAAAGTGCAGCTTCTTGCAATCCGCTGATGCCCAGTCTTCAGCATTAGAAGGCTGGTACCACAGGAAGCAGCTCTAGTAGTGAAAGTGAAACGTGGTCTCTCACTCCTTTCCTGAGATCATTGTTCTGGGGCTGGTCTGCGAGTTACCAGTTTTAGCCAGGGTGGAAAAGAAATGCTCCTTGTATATTGTAACGCACAACTATGGCCTGTTGGAACATTATTTTGCAACATTAGCTTCTTCTCAACACTTATGGAATGGAATCTAGATTAAAATCATTTGGGAAATGGCCGCACTGTTGCATTTATTGGTCTAGAGCACGATGTGTGTCTAGCTCTTTTTCTTTTAATAACAACGGGTTGTGAAAATGAATACCTCCCATTGCAATTTAAGCGGATTTTGCTCTTCACAAAACGTCATTGTTTATTATTCCTGGTCTAGCCTATCCCTCAACCAGACCCCCTGAACAGACCTGAGGAAACACATGATCAGGTTCTGAAGGCTCACTTGAATAAAGAAGTTTTGCGAAATAAACAGGCGCCCACCATTGAAGAGCTGAGCAAGATGTTCTACACCACTAAACACCGCTGGTACCCAGTAGGACAGTAAGTACAATATCCTGTAAAGGCCTGAAAAGAATTGCACGTTGTTTTAGTTTTTTATTGCTGTGTGCTGTTAGTGTGATATGCTTGTTGCAGAATTAAGGTTAAAATGTACAGTATGCAACAAAGTAGATCATAGTAGATCACAACCTATACATCTGTATGCCTTATGGGGGTGTGGCAATTTCTGATAAATTACATGACGTAACTGCTTATCAGTATAATACTATATTTTTTGTTTTTATATACTATTAATTTTTACACAAAAGATAATCTCTAATGTAGGCTCCCATGTTTTTCAGAGTTATTTTAATTTTTATATGTAGAATTATTTATTTCTTCCAGTTAATAAAGTACACAGAACTGCACATTTAAGTATTGTGGTTTTTGCGTCTGCCTGTGGTATGAAAATTTGAGTAGAAAAATTGTGTGGCAGTCCAACCTTTTTATTTGAAGGGCCCAGTTCCACAAAATGTATATTTTAACTTGGATGGAGAAAGTGATAAAATAGACCTATTCCTCAAATTTGTTTTTAACTCAGTTCAGTCAGATTAAGTGATTTACTTTGATGGATTAATTCTGACAAACAGATTCATGGTGTAGCTGCTGAGTGAGATATTGCACAGAGACCAATTTCTGACATTTCTTTTTATTTCCTCTCAGGTACCACAGGCGACGTAAAAAGACTGACCCTCCCAGAGACAGATAGTCTTGAACACAGCTGACATTCAAGAAATGGTGACTTTGTGCTGTCTGTGAAGATGTTTGAAGTCCTCGAATAAAAACTGCAGTTCTAATTGCTTTACAGTATGTTTTGCAAATGATTTTGAGTGCTGTCCTGAAGATCCTTTGAAAATATGTCCATTCTCTAGGTCATGAAAGTAACAAGAACATTCATTTGACACTCATTTAACAGCTGTTAAAAGACACACAACATTGGAACCACAAACAATGAAGCTAGGATATTTTAAAATATTATAAGGAAACTTATAATTTCCTTCTAATTCTTCTGTAATGTACTGTACATAACATGGAATTAGTACTACTGACCTTCTTTGAACTATTATTATTTCTCATTCCTGTGCAAAATCCTATTTTAGATACGAAATGAATGGAATACCTCAAGTTATGAGCCACCTCTTGTTATGATGACATATGTGAATTCAGAAAAATATCTGATCACTTTCCAAAGCAACTTACGTGATTTTGTGTGAAATGTGTGACTGCAGTTCAGTGAGATCTCACAAAGTGGTAGTAAATGATTACCAACACGTGCTTATACATAAATGACTTGGCTGAGCTCTGCAATGTGATTCTTTACTACACAATGGTGGATTGTTTATTTATTTTATATATATATGTATGTATGTAGCAGTGGTTAGAGGTCTAGATGGTGAAATTCAAATTGTAGCTTCAAATATGATTCAAGACACTGCTGTTGGACTATTTATTAAGCTGTTTCACCCAAAATACTTCAGTATTATACTCTGCTGTATGAATGGATACATGTGCAAGTCATTTTAGATTAAAGGCAGCCAAGTAAATATTTATCTGATCCCTCCTTTAAATATGTACACTGGCCAAAATACTGATTTTCCTGATTTGATCTGACTGGTTCAAGTGCACTTCAAGTTCATTGAGCTGTTACAAAATTGTTGTGGTTGTCTGAAAGATTTAAGCTTAAGATATATATGGTTTAGTTAATTGTAAGCATCTACAGTCTTTCTGTCCCTCAGCATCACAGTGTATAGCCTACTCAGGCAGTGCAATATAGTTGCTATATACTTGAAAAACACCAAAATCGTTCCTTGACAGCATATAAATAACATGCCAATCGAATTAAGAGTACTTAAGTTTTAGACATTTGACCAAAAAAAAGGTATAGAAGAGAAATCTGAGAATTCCTTACCCCCATCTGAAAAAATTGCGAGATATACTTGCTCTGAAACTGTTTTTGTTTACAGGAGCCAAAGTATTGGTGGCAGTCTCTCGCAGATAAAACTAGAAAACTTCTGAGAGGATAAGTGCACTTTATAAAATGTTCAGAGGAGAATGGGATGTGGTTGAGAAAAGGTATGTAAGGACAGTGTGACTGGGTGAAGAAAGGATTTTAGAAATGTCAGGAGAGAGATGGAAATGAAAAATGGAATTGAGGCTGAATGTAAATGTTTATTTTTCTAGCATGACAACAGAAAATTAACTGGCTCTGAGGGAACGGAAAGTTTTAAATGAGGGAAGAGAAAAGGCTGATGTATTAAAGGAATATTTAAGTCGAGGAATTTTAGTCTTTTAAGTGGAAGCACTTTAAAAAAATCTCTTTTACCCACTGTACTCAAGAAGAAACACAAGCTGATATTTGCAGGCCATCAACAAAACTTAAGTCCATCTCTCAAGGGTCATACTTATTTTATAACCCCCATCCATTAAAAGGAAGAAAGACATAATGTGATAAAACTGTACATAGGTTCAAATAATTACCTAATAATTACTGCCAAATATATACATATGATGAAAAACTGATTAAAAATGAAAAATATTTCTATATGAAGCCAGTTTACAAACTAGTTCAAGTAGGTAGCTGCGTCAGCTGCAAAGAAATAAAGGTTTATTCCATGCTGAGAAGAGAAGGAGACACAACGTTGCGTTTTATATTATTATTTAATGTAAATAATATTAATTATATTATTTATATTAATTATTAATTATATTATTTATATTAAGATTATGATCTAGCAGATATTTTGTGCTGCAATTATATTCCTTATAAGGAATAATATTCTGTATTATTCCTTATATGCCGTGGCTGTAGTGGTAACTATAAAACTGCCTTTTTGCGGGGAAATTCTAAGACGTCAACATAAGTGATTAATATTAGCTTTCACATCACAGAAGTCCTCTAAACGTCAGTTATTGATGTGCATTTTGGGTCCGTTTAATGCATTATATGGTAGTTAACAGTTGTAGCTCGGCGTGGAGTACGGGAGTGATCCACCTAGGCGTCTGTCGGGACGTGTAGTTCATTTCATTTGACGTCTCCCGGCGTGTACGTAGCCGCTCAGCCCCCGGACAACTACATTACCCGGCATGCATGCGGGGAGGCAGTGCTGGCATTCACCGGAAGAGCCGTGCGACTGCGCCCTAGCGCCGTGAATGCAAGTGAGAGGAGAAGCAGCGAGAGAGTCAGAGCTGAAACCGCATTACGACAAGATGGCAGGACTGCCCCGCAGGATCATCAAGGTAAGCCGCTACAGCTTTCTGCACTAAACCGTAGCGTACTGGCAGCTCTCTTGCCCCAAGGGGGGACGGGAAAATAGTGAGCAAGCGGCTCCCGCACGGCTAAGTAGTCTTGCAATACGAGTATTTTCCCCGGCTACTTCCGCTTATTCTCTGCTCCAAGCCCGAGTGCCCGACTGAGGCTGGGTTAAAAATACCTCCTCCCTGGTTAAAGATGGCGGAGAATCGGGGCCCTTGTCGTCTTACGAAGGACTGTTGGCGGTTTAAAATGAGCGGAACCGGGTTTTTTTTCTCGCAGCAGCAGATCAGACCTCCCACTCCCCGCTCCCCGAGCCGTGCAGGCAAGCGCCATGTGTAGGCCATCTGAAAATGTCATCGAGAGCTGCCGTGGAAAAAGAGAGGCGGGGGGGTGGGTGACTTGAGCAGCCGTTTAGCAGTCGGGCGTGGAGGGGTATTTGATCTGATCGCGCCCCGAGATGTTTGCCAGCCGCCCCCGGCGGGTCGTGTTTGCAATCGGGAGGGGAGGGAGGCGGAAGAGGGGACAGGCCGGCGCTCGGGTCCCGCTCCTTCGCCTGCGCAGGGCTTCCCCTCCAGGGCTAAGGCCTCGGTCATGGGCGGGATCTCGCCGCGCAGGGCCCATAGAAATGAATGAGATGGGAGAAGCGAGTTTTCGGAGATGGGTGTGAGGGGAGGGCAGGGCAGGGCGGGGGTCAGCACGCCGCGGCTGCCGGTGCTGGGAGGACATTTCGCCCGGGCCTTGCCGATCCGAGCTGCTTCGTGACGATCTTTATCGTCGCGGCCTTTTGTTGGAGGCACTGCCGTGACGCTTGTGGCGAAAAAAAAAAAGGGTGGGGGTGAAATGACGCTAGCGCCTACCCGAATCGGGTCTGGTGCCGCATCAGGATGGTTTAGCTAGTGGGTAGTGGGTGCAGCGCGCTGGAGAAGCGTCTAAGAATGCCCCTCTAGCGACGTGAATTTCAGCACCGTGTAGAGCACTCCTACGTTTCATCTGGTAGAAAGACGTGGGTGTTAAAAAAACGCAGCAGGACCCCTATAGCTGCCGAGGAACGTTTCATTTTAATTTCTCGAGGAGGGTGTTCAGCTCGCCTCGGCCCGTCCAGGCGGTCTGGTTGCTGCTAGCAAATTAATCCGGGGCTTTCGGACCTGTTCTTGGAAGAACAAGCAGCTCCTTTTAATCAGGGCTGAGAGTAATTCGTTTTCTTTTTCAGATTTAAAAGCCCTTCACATGCGCATAAAGCACTGAACTCTGTAGCTGTAGACGAAATTCTAATGTGTGCGGTCTCTTCATGGGTACTAGCAGGTGATCATGGGTTTCATATAAAATCTTCCATCATAACACAATTCCAGGAAGTGAGGCAGCAAATGCAGTTCAGTTTCTCTCTCGTTGTAAGTAGTTCATTGTCCCCAACAGTGCCAGTATGCTTAATAATGTGAAACCTGGATTTGTTTTATACTATTCAGCTCTTGTGCAATTGGTATTCTGCTACCGCATCGAAGAGTGCTCAGTGAAAAGCTGGTTGTGTTGGCAGATTTGTAAGCGTTGCATTTGCTTATTGAGGCACGTAGTGATTGTTTTTTTTTAGGTCTGGCAGAGTGAGGAGGTGTGGTTTTGTTGACTTAGCCCTTGTAGATGGCATCAGTTGTCTCTTCCTGTGTAGAATGGAATACGTGTACAGAAAACCTAACTCCTTCACAATTATCTTCACTTTGAGTTCCATTTATCCCACTGCGTTATCTGATGCAGGGTCACACGGATGCCAGAACCATCTCCCGGAGTAAATTAAGGGAAATGGTGTTTCTTAGATGCTGAGTTGTATGACTTTCTGTGCTGTTCTGCTGAAGGAAATTATATTTGCAGATCTGACAATCACGCAATGTGTGCTTGCTGGTTAGAGCCAATTCACAGTGGAACTAACTTAATATCACCGTAAGACCATTTCATTACAGAAATCCTTGAGGTATAGTTTTGGATTAAAGGGAGTTAAATCCAGGAAAGGTGAAAAATCCGGGCTAGGTAATGTTTACTCCCTTAAATACTTAATTTTAACTTGCATTTAGAAACCACAGAAGGTTCTGGATTTTATATTGAATTAGAATAGAAAATCTGAGACAAGGCTTGAAATCTGTTATTGTGGTATGTGAATCATTGCCTCTTTGTGTTGAAAATGACTGATGTACAGCAGTTAATCACTGCAGTGCTCTTTAGTGCAGAGAGGGCTTACAGATTCTTGTGCAATGCATTTCATGAAATGTGTTGGCTGATCATGAAGTACAGGTTTTTACTGTGCAACATCCCTTCTTGGTGTGAGTCGCTATTAGTTGTTGGGGTCTTTAATTTTATTCCTAAATAACTCCAAAAAAGGTGTGAGACCAGGTGCATTGGGAGGCAGGTAGAATGATTCTACAGCATCATAGTGAGGGAGTGTCCCTAAGCATGAGATTTTTGAAAGTTGTTTGAAGTATTTTGTCTCTTTTTTTGGGAACAATTTTTACATATTTTTGTGATGTCCGCCCACCCGATTTGCAATTGACAGTTGTGCTTTCAAGTCTCAGCTTACAGCTATGAGCCTTGCAGCCATACCCAAGAATGAGGAAATGCTGCCAGACTCCCACAGCCCACCTGCTTTCAAGCTGTTCATATTTTTACACCTCGCAGGCTATGCAGCCTCGTTCAGGAAGTTCAGCATTGGTTGGAGGAGAGGTGCACCCCTCTATGACATCACTTCCGATCTGCAGGTGCCCAGGAGGTTCACAGAGGTCACTTTGAGCCGAGAGAGTCCTGGCCTGACTAACTCCCACCATATCTCTGGCACCTCTTGGCCAGTTTAGCACTGGGCTAGTGACATGACCCAGGTTGGAACAAGTGGCGCTCGGATTGTAGCATCCTGCCTGCACGCAGAGAGTGGTTGAGTCACTCTGCAGGCTAAAACAGAAATGGGGAAGCATGTGAACAATTATAATGTGCACTGGCAGTCCAAAAGTCTGCTGAGATCTTAACATTTCTGACTGCTCTCTAACGTAATGAAAAAACTGAGCAGAACTGACTGATCAGCCCTCTTAAAACAAAACTATACCCTCTGCGATGTAATGTTGGAATTGTCATTTTCAGTTTTTCTCAAGCAGTCCAGCTTCTCTTTGTAAGAGGAGCATAAGAACCTTGTTAAAGAGGCAGGTGAAGACTTGAATGGAGGGGTTTGCATCTGAAAAGAAAAAGGAAAGGGCAATCGTGAACACCCAGAATGAGCACACATTAGTCGAAGGGATTAGTCAAAAGAGCAAGAACATGAGAGGTTTCAAAGGAGAGGAGGCCCAGTGGCCTATGAAGTCTGTTTGGTAGTTAGTAGATAATTGACACAAGCATCTCATCCAGCTGGTAATTGAAAGAAACCAGGTATTGGCTTCAACAACATGACTGGGGAGCTTGTTCCGGACTCCTGCAACCCTTTGTGTAAAGAAGGGCCCCTTGTTCCCCATTTTAAACACACTGTTGGTTCTACAGGTGTGTGTAGATGAGATGGAGAGAGTTCACACAGTGTTGCTCAGAGAGTTTGTGAGAAGAAAGTATAGAATTGTTTTCAATATGTATTTGTAATTGGGTAAAAGGGAGGTGATTGTATAGGATTCAAAATAAGTGTTTTGTTCTCCAGTATAAAATGGAATCCTCAATAAGGCAACTTTAATTTCCTTTTTTTAGAATGAATGACTCAATTTCAATAGTTGAGGGGGGGGGGTTCTGAATATTGATGCTCAAACCTCACTGACAAACACTAACATTTGATAATAGTGGAAGTATTTTTTTGCGAAAGAGTTTACGTTGTACGGTGCCCTGAAATGCATTTCCTGTGCACATCCTTTCGAGACATTTCTCTTTAAAAAAAAAACAAATTGCCCTTATCGTTTAGTAGAATTTCAAAGTGCTTTATCTCGCATAATTGGTGCAGAGTGTCACTTTTTCTTTGCCCTTTGAGTTTAAAGAACTTTTCACTGTTGTCATCAAAATCGGCTAACAGCAGTGCTGAGCACAGGAAAAGCAAGACCCCAGTGTGGTGCAGCTGTCTTCCCAAGCGTAAATTGAAGCTGCTTTTTTTTAAAAAGAGGTACGTGCTTTGTTTTTCTTGTCGGTTACTGTTACGTTCAGGAAACAGAAATGTGGAGAGCGCTTCCACCAGCATATCTGTGAGGTTCAGTGGAGCAAGTCCGTGATTAAAATGATGGCACATAACTAACCATGAGTGTTTGTTTCTGATTTACAAGTTGATTTAAGTGCCCTTCATGAAGCTCTGCATTTCCTGATGCTCTCATGAAATGCATCTTTGCACCACTGATAGTTCTGAAAGCTTTGTCCAGTTCAGTTGAGACAGATCTTGCACTGTAATACGGTTGAGCTGGAGCTTGTGTATTTTCATCCATGATGTCGATAGGCTTTGGATGCTGTGGGGATTGTTTGAGGATTAAAAAGGCTGTGGATGACATTTCCGTGCTTTTTAAGAAAAAGCCTGCCTCCACACTTTCTTTGGCTTCTTGAAAGTAATATTCCGGTGAGATCCTCATGTCAGTTGGCTACCAACTTCCAAACAAGCCCTGTGTGCTGAGTGGACTTCTCTAGATTGCAGGCTTTATGTTTATACTTTTGTTAATGCAAAGATAGTATTATCACATTATACGTGGGGAAACAGGCAGGCACTTTGCAGGTCATGAATTTCCCTGTCCAGGAGCACTGGAGTTCTTGCAGAGGTGGCTGCATGGAGTTTTATGGTCTCTCAGTATGGTAAACCATTGCAGTCAGACACTGACAGGCATTGCTTGTCACGCAGGCCAGAGAATCTGTTCAGAGAAGGTGCGGTTACATACAGGTGTGCCACAGCGTGTGCAACTCTGTTGCATCGTTATGTAAGGAACTAATTTTTGTAAGTAAGTAACTTTTGCATATGAAGGTAACCTGGAATGTTTATATATACATATTGTTGCGTAAATATTCATAA